CCCCAAAACCCCAAAACCCCAAAACCCCAAAACCCCAAAACCCCGAGCCAAATCTGGAATATTGGAAGGAATTTATTGATTTTCATCATCTGATAGTTTGAATCTCTTCACAGGGGTTTCGATTGGGCCATTCTCATCTCTCAGTCTTTTCCTTTGGCATGAATCGCCATCACTCTATAGTCCTCGGACAGTCGGCTTACCTCATTTCAACTATCACGGTCTATGATTTTAGTGAGATGGATGAGCATGATCAGAAGAAAAAAATTAGGTGAACTTACCATATACAGGCTTTTCAGCATGATTATTAGGCAGGATTCTGTATGCAGATATCAATATTTCCTCTCCTTCCGGTCATTGCTCTTGGTACTTCTTGGCTAACTCGAGCAAGGTCTGGGATACCGAATCAAAGTTTTTCACTATAAGCAACTGGTTTGACACAACATCTTCAGATGATTCTTGACTTTTAAATTCTATATTTCCATCAAAACTTTGAAAGTCTGCATTTTCCCCAGTTTGTTCTTGGTAATGAAGCCCATCTCTGATGTTATTAGCGAGGATGATCTTCTGAGAGTTCTTCTGGATCGTAAAGACATACCTCTCCTTCTCACTGACGCCAAGAGTGTCTGCTTGGGATTGCTCTGTTAAGAACAGCACTTCTGAGTTAGGCCCAATGTCTAAAATTTCTTTGTTTTGTTTAAACTGTATAGCTTCTAATGATAATGAAAGTTTGGTTACCTAATTTATTGATGATTTTATCCTTAAGGCATTCTTTCTGTTCCTCTCTACCTTTCTTTGTATCGCTCCTAAGAAGTCTTTTGGGTCGAGGCAAGTAGTTGGTCTTAACTTGGGATTTAAGAGACTCTTTGATCTCTTCATACAACTTTATTTGGTCTAAATTTTAGTTAAGAAGCTTACCTGGATCTGTCTTCATCTGAATGTCTTTAAAACTTAGTTGGTAGACTTCTCTCTCATCTATTGCTCCTTGATCATTTCTACCTCCGAAGATAAAAATATTATGATTGGTAGAGTCTAGGGATTAAGCTAATCTTACCATGACAGCTTACATGAAAACTTCTTGGGACGAATATATCATAATTATGAGGAATAATCTTTGTCCACGTCAGAGTAATCAAATCGAATGCCCATATGGGAAACTGGTAATAAGCATACTCAAAATTTGTTGAATCATTGTCTTCGTCAAAACTATGGCTAGGGGTCTTTCTTTCCTCAGAATTCTCAGACTTTTCGACTCGCTTGCATCCACCAATTATGATAAGGAATCTATTAAAATCAACTATCAGGATACCTGTTCTGGATAACTTCACAGGAATGGCCGAAGCGTGGTTCTGGGCCATGATTGACTGCTACAACTTTGTTCCATTTAACAATATATTTATTTCTCTTCAGAATCATCTTCTACTTCTTCCGGGTCTATGGGATACGACTCTATCTCTGTGTAGTAGAGGTCATCACAGTCATCTTCATTGGTGTCTGACCCACCAAATACATAGACAGTATTTGAGACCGAAACTGCTGTGTGGAAATCCCTTGGACAAGGAAGATCTCCACTTGGATCATTTTCAGCAAGATACCAGTACATTCAGTTCAGATCTAAGATGTATGTATCATTTGATTTGTACTCAGAGTTACCTCCTCCGAAGAGCATCACTTCACTATGGCTGATGAGTGTTGATGAGTGTCCTTCAAGAGGCAAGGGATTGCTGCCACTCATACTCTGGTTTGAGTTTAGTATCCTCATCCATCGATGGCCTCAGACTATTGGAATTTGGCCAGAGTAATTAAACTTCTTAAACACAAAGTTTTTCATTGATAGTGTATAAGCACCCTGATTTGTAAGACAATACAGATGTTTCTTAATACTGTATATAAGATTAGGCATAGCTTCAGACATCAAAGCTCTCATGCCAAGTTTCGAAGGATGGCAGGTCCATTCTCATTTGAAGTCTCCTTGAATTTTCTCGACAAAAGGAGCGACCAGCTCATTTTCGGGGTTAGCTTTCAAAGTTCTGATAGAACTTTTTATCATCAAGGCGGGGGAATATGACCTAAAATTTTTGTTAATAAACTCAGAGAATCCTTCTGGACCAAGCAGCTCCTTCAAGCTATGGTTCATGCTGATAATGTCTCCTGAATTCTCCTTAAATTTATCCAAAATGCTGGCAATTTCTTCAGATTTTTCAGGGAAAGACCTTTTGAGGATGCTTTCTATCGAATTTGAATCAATTAGGTTATTCATTTTCAATTTTAATATAATATTTTGGGGTTTTGGGGTTTTGGGGTTTTGGGGTTTTGGGG